ATGGTAGTAGTAGTACTAGTAATAAAAATATTCGTAGTGGTAGTAGTAGTAGTCGTAGTAGTCGTAGAAATAGTAGTGGTAGTAATAATCGTAGTCACCGCGGCAATAAAAGTCGTAGCACTAGTAAGTAAACAAGTAGCAGTAGAAGAAAAAAGTAGCAGTGGTAGTAGTAGTAGTAGTAATAGTAGTAGTACTAGTCGTCGTAGTAGTCGTAGTCGTAGTGTCGTAGGTGTCATAGTAGTAGTAGTAGCAGTAGTAGTAGTAGTAGTAGTAGTAGTAGTAGTAGTAGTACTGGTAGTAGTCGTAGTCGTAGTCGTAGTCGTAATAGTAGTAATAGTAGTTATTCAAAAGTAGTAACAATAGTAGCGATAATAGTAATAGTTTTAGTAGTCGTCACAGTAGTAGTAGATGTGGTAGTAGGAGCAGAAGAGGAAGCAGCCATCGTAATCGTAGTCGTAGTTGTAGCCGTATGGTCCTGATCGTACTCGCCACATAGAGCTTGATCAGCTTGATGACTTGGAAGGGTTGGGAAGGTAAGAACCCCATGGGCCTCCCACGCGTTCGTGACTTGTGAAAGCTGGGATGGTGTGAATCCCATTGCTCTGCCACGCGTTCGTGATGATGTTGTTCCCCAGCGTAAGAATATAATTACTTCGGCTCGTGAAGTTCCCTGGGGATAATGAAGTTCGGCTTCGTGTCCCCCCCCCACACGTCGGAACTACGAAGCGCCAGAAAGAATCTAGACCAGCGTTGGAAAGGAGGGGGCGTATGATTTGTATTATCGAGCATGCGATGGTCTTCGACCGGGCCAAAAACTCTAAAAATACTGCTGTGAGTACTTTGACTGCTACCGCTACCACTACAACTACAGCTACTTCTACTACTACTACTACTGCTACTACTGCTACTTTCAACACTACGACGTCTACTACTGTTACTACTACTCCTAATACTACTACTACGGCTACTACTACTACTACTACTACTACTACTACTACTACTACTACCACTACTACTACGACGACGACTACTACTACTACTACCACAATTACGACTACTACTACTACTACTACGACGACTACTACTACTACTACTACTACTACTACGGCGTCTACTACTACTACTACTACTACTACTACTACTACTACTACTGGTACTATTACGTTTACTTCTACGACTACGACTACTCTACTGCTACTGCAACTACTGCAACTACTACTACTACTACTACTACTACTACTACGACTTCTCCTACTACTACTACTACTGCACTACTACTACGAATACTACTGCTACAAATACGACGACGACAACACATATTCCTATCACTACTATACCTACCATTACGCAGACTGCTACTATTATTACTACGAGTACTACTGCTACTACTACTACTACTACTACTACTACTACTACTACTACTACTACTACTGTTATACTGCTACTACCACGACTACGACTACTACTACGACGACGACTACTACTACAAATATTACAACTACTTCTTCGACGACTACTACTGCAACTACGCCTGCTACCACTACTGCTGCTGATGCGTCTGCTTGTAATACTTGTGCTTCGGCGTTTGCTACTACTTCAACTACAAGTCCAAACACAGCTGCTGCGACTGCAACGGCACAAGAGATATGATTACTACTACTACTACTACTACTACTGCTACGATACCAAGACTACTACACTTACCGCGGCTACGACTACGACTACGACAACGACTACGACTACGACTACTACGACGACTACTACTACTACTACTGCTACTACTACGACTACAACTACTACAACTACGCCTACTACTGCTGCTGGTACTACTAGTCCTACTACAAATGCTACTACTACAGCTGCAATTACTACTGCTGCGCTTACACCTGCTGCTACTACGGCTATTACTGCAACTAGGGCCTGTACAACTCCTTCTAATACCACGTCTACTACTACGACTGCTACTACGACTACTACTACTACTGCTACTTCTACTACTACGAGTACTCCTACTACTACTACTACTGCTACTCCTACTACTACTGCTCAGAATGCAGCTACTGCTACTGCGACTACGACTGCTTCTTCTACCACCACAACTACGACTACGACTACTACTACTACTACTACTACTACTACTACGACTACGACTACTACTACTACTACTACTACTACTACTACTACTACTACTACTACGGCTACCACCAGTACTACGACAACTACTATCAGTACAGCTACTACTACTACTACTACTACTACTACTACTGCTACGGCTACGACTACTACTCCTACTACTAGTACTAGTACTACGACGACCACTATCAGCACAGCTACTTCTGCCACGACTGAGTCTGCTACTTTTACTGCTACACCTACTATTACTTCTACTACTACCACTACTACGGCTACGAGTACGACCACTGCAACAACAACTACTACTACTACGAGTTCCACGACTGCGACTACGACTACTACTGCTACTAGCACAGCGCTGCCACTT